TCACTTACCTCGTGCCACATCTCCACGCCTCTTTCGACGTTACACGATCGGCGATTGCGACGTAGCGACAGACTCGCTGTTATCACCCCTAACAGTATATAATGCTTATATAAGAAGTGAGTTATAATTAGAATAACTTATAAGAACTGTTAAACTTAAAAGGTTGATTGGAGAACTTGTGTTAAAAATATTGAATATATATTAATAGCTATTTTTTTTATTTAGGATGAAAGGTTTTTAAACAGAAAACTGATAAAGTTTTGAGCATTTTCAACTGAGAGGAGCAGTTTGTAAAACAAATCTTGATTTTGAAATTTTTGATTACTTTGATTATATATGAAATCCAGTTGTCTTGGTTGAATTTTTTTGAGACACATATTGAACAAAATAAAATTGCTTCTTTTTTTGGATAGAATTAATGGTTTGTATCATGGATTTTTTGATTGCTGACATGGTTAATTTGACTATTAGATTATTGATAAGACTTATTATCTATTTTCTTCAAGTAATTTTTTTAATATTATAATTGAAATTTAAGAAAATCCTTGAAGCTTTTTAAAATTTTTATTAAATCTATATAATAAATAATATATAAAAAGCAACATTCAAATAAAACAATAGTGATTTGATCTAAAACCTCTTATTTTATTTACTACCTCGTATCCGACTTTCTATTTCTTTCAATATTATATACTGTAATTAGTAATTTATAAAATTAAATAGTTTGCTTAACAAATAATAACCGTATATAATATAATGGTGTCTTGAGATTTTCAGGGACAAATTTTGCGTAACCGCAGACTTCAAGAAAACAAGGGTCAGATAGAGACTTAGAATTAGATTGGCTGGTTAGTAATGATTCTTTTTAAATTAATGATATTTCGTCCTATTCCTTTTAAATACATTTCGACAAAAAAAAGGAAACACAAAGAAAGGTGAGAATTTTTTTTTTATCAGCATGATTATTTTTTCTATTTTCGCTATACTGATTACATCATTAATATTATTTTTAACGCCACTGTTTCATATTTTCCTATCTTTGAAACGTCAAGCCGATTGGTTGTCACGTGACAGAAATCGCGTCCCATTAACGGATTTTTTCAAAAACCGAGTATACAAAAAATATAATTTTAATTAAAGTTGCTGATTCTTATTGGTTTACAAAGTCTCACTTAACACTCCTGTCGTCTTAAAATAAATTGACTCGTACTGTGATATTTATCTATAGTTGAGTTATTTACCCTTATACTGTATGTAGTTGTTAGAATTGTTGCGAGTAAAGCAATATTCATTATAGTAGTAGTGAATAGTATAAGATGCATTAAAATTTTTATAAGTGTACTTATTTTGATAAAAATTCGTGACACCTCGTAAAGAAATACTGTAGTGCACCACAAAGTATCCGATCTACTAGTAATAAAATACGTGAAACGAAATTTCTAATAAGTAACGTGTCATATCATAAATATACAGTAAATAAATTACGTGTAGTAAATTGTTCGCGAAAAATTTTATTTGAACTAATTTAGTTGTTTATTTAAAGGATGCCAAATTAAGAACACATTTTAACAAGAATCGTTTAAGATAAAAAATTTTCATGACATATTTTTTCGTTTTTCTTGTCATAATCAACAATTCTAAATCTAGAAATAATAACGTTATTGTTTAACTAATAAAATTAATTGCTTTAGTGTACAGATGAAGTAATGTAAATATGGAGCGATTTAGTATTATGCCTTTAAAAATGAGAAAGAATGTAATATCTAAGAATTCAAAATAGAAATACTTGAAATTGTAAATAAACGATTAAAATTATAGCATTAAGGCAACATACCAATAGTTTTCTTTGCATAAATATATTGTTATCCCAATTTGAGGAAAAATATATTTATTGCTTGAGTTGTGAAATAGATGTAGGTGAAATCACTTTGGGAGACCTGATTGAAAATTTTAAAGAAGACAACGCTGAAGATGGTAATGCTGGTTCTTCATAATATTCGTGATCCTCTTCAAAGATTTTTTCGCTTTCGGCATCCTCACGGTCTTCATAATCCGAAAGGTAGGGACCAAGATTTTTCGAAAGGTATGGCGTCGGACATACCATATCGTATAATGAAAATATATTACTTGAAGAGCTAGTATTTTTTTTATCCTTAATATTCCCCAGGATCGAAGGAGGATTAACCAATATCATTCGTCTATTTTTTTCACCGGGTGGACTTTGCACAGATAGAAGACTTCCAAAAGCATTAGTAAAGCTATCTACTTCTTTTTTGTTATATTCATCATGATCTCTTGACTTTTTGTTCAACAGTAATGTCATATAAGATCCGATACTGCACAGAGAGTTCTTTCTATGATGATGATTAAAGGGATGAATATTGTTTATTGGTTGATCACTCTTTTTTGTAAAAATGTTATTTCTGTTGTTCAGCTTTTTCGATGATTGTTCTTTATTCCTTGAAGGTTCCTTCGGGCTATTATTATTATTTAAATTTTCTATATTAACGAGATACCGATTTGAATATATATGGTAAATTACTGGATCTACCGCATATTCAGGTGAATCAGAGGATAACGGCGAGGAAGGAAGGAATTCGAATTTATTGTCATTTGATACGTTGTTACTCTGTTCCGAAGTGAAGGTTCTTTCGATAGTATTAGGAATTAAATACGATGTAGAATTCTTTGAATTACTTTGGACTTGATTTTTCGGTAAATCATGTTTCGAATGTCTAGTCTTGTCAAGATCGATGATGGGTGAGTGACCATTTTGGTAAATTCTCTGAAGAAAAATCTGTTGGTGCCTGGAAGTTACGTCGTTTTGACTTTGATTTTGTTCGTAAGAGGAATCTTTGATACCATTCAAAATTTGCGATGAGTTCCAGAGAAAATTGCGCGGTAAACACGGTGAATCTGTGATGGAAGAAGATAACATTATTCTATGAATGGATTCACGGAATCAAAAAATCTAGAGAGGACTACTGTATGACGATGGTGAAGTGTGAAATTTGTGAAGATGATCAAGAATTTAAAGTCTATTTGTACAAATTGATGTGCCGGATTTTTCCAATATACCATTTATTAAACGAATCAAAAAAAGGTTAGTACTGCATTTATGAAAACAAAGATTGTGATAATAAGTAAATATAAGACAATTGATGTATGTGTATGTATATTTAAACAAATACACTCTTGTCATATTCGCCTTGATTTCACGCTTTTGTCTAGGAGACAAAGGAAATGTATTTAGTCACGATGGGTAAAACGGCGCAATAGACCTACCGTATACGAATATGCAGGGGCCTTCCCCTACCCTAGTGATCGGTTCAATGAATTTAAAGATTAAAGTAAGCTAAAGAAAAGAAAACTAACCAATGCAGGAATTGGTGTATGTAACACGAAAATTGAACGGGAAAAAAATCAATTATGCTACACGTAATTGATACGTTTTTAAAGGACCTAATACGTTATTTAGAATGGCATCAAACGGGATAATAAATGGTTTTTAAAACAATTTCTAACAATGGAAAATCTTTTACCGAGTAACCTTCCGGGTGCATATTGTATTGACGTGAATCTTCGGTTGACACTTTTCCTAGGAAAATAATCACGTGGGAAAGATTTCTTCATCAGCCGTGCAGTATTTGTGTCTAAGTGGACAATTCACAAGCATATTTCAAAGGGTTTTGTGATACTGTTTCAATGCTTCATAGATGTCTATTCACCGGTTTGACAGGAGCATATTGATGCATTGTTTCGCATGAAAAACGAAACATTATAGAACAAGTTTACTTTCATTTTATTTGATTGCGTTTGCATGTATTCGTCGTCAAAAAAATACTGTAAGTAGAAAACAAACTAACGTAAAAGAGAATTTTGCATGAATTTATTTTTTATTAATTACCATTAAAATTTTCTACGCATAAATGACCTGCACCATTAAGTAAAAAAATAAATGTATGGTTTGCATAAAAATAACAAATTGACAATGCAATATTTTTATTTAATAAATTTACATACACTGGATTTTGTAATTAATATTTAATTAAATTCAATGAAATTAAATATTTAGATAACTTTATTAACACATGTAATATTTAATCATTATATTGAAACAAAACGGTATTAGATAAAATTAATTATACAGTATAAACATTATAAAAGATACTTTCTAATACTTGTTACAGGAGTTACAGATTTAACAAGAAGGTAATAAGCAAAAAGAAAGTGTAAATTTGATAAGTTTAAATAATTTGAAGAGATTTTTTTAATTAAGAACAATGTGATAAATATAATAATTTTATTTGATACACTTTTTATTATCTTTTTTTTATTAACTTTTTTTTTACACATTCAATTATGTTGTTTTTGTACTTTATAACAATAAAAAAAAATAAAATGATTAAAGAAAATAATTAATTAAAATAAATAATAATAATAATAATAATAAAGAAAATAAAGAAAATAATAAAGTTGAAAACTGATTATCCTTTTAAACAATCTTTATAACATGTAATTAAGATTTTAAATTAATATTAAATAATATTAACTTTTAATAAATTTAATATATAAGCTAATTAAGTTATTTTATTATTTTTTTTTTGAAGTGAAAGATATATATAGCATATGACTTTTATTAAGTAATTTATATCCAAATATATGGTATTACTGACTTGGAAAAATAAAATAAGAATTGTATCAATTTAAACTTATAGCAATTAGAATATTCCTATAAAAAAAAATAAAAAAAAACAGAATAAAGAAGAATAAAAGAAAATATTTAAAAAAATGTCAAAAGAAATAAAAAAAAATGAAATTCACAAGTTAATATATTAAAACTTTTAGTTTTTTTCTTGATAAACTTCAAAATTTTTGTTTTAGTTAATTTTATAACTTTAATATTGAAATCAAAAGATAAAAATATATAAAAATTGAATTTCAATAAAAAAAACAATAAAAAATATAAAAAAAAAATATGTAATAATTATAATTTTATTAAAAAAATAAAAAAAAAATACAAGAATTCAAAATTTTATAATTGTTAATAGTTGTTTTCTTTTCTACAGCTGAAGAAAAATATAACCTTTTTATAATATTTTAATCAATTATAGATTATTTCTAATTTAATTATTTATTTGTGATTTATTCATTTATACAAAAAAATTAACCATTTATTTTTTTTTGTTACTTAAATAGTTTCTGCAAACCAAACTTTTTTTTTTTTTTTTTTTTTTGTAGGTAAACATCATTTCTTTATTTGATTTGTATATAGCAGTGTATACATTGTGAAAGAAACAACATCTCTCATATGTTGATACAATGAGTTAAATGCTAGCTTGCCTACAGTAACCATACGACTAATATTGAAAAGAAAATTTAAAACAATATATTTTGCCGGATGGCACCGAGCAGCTATGAATACCTACTCAGCATTATGAGAAATAGTAGTAGAATTAGAATTGGCAGAAAGAGTTGTTAGACTATAAATACATTTGGAATAGTTATATTTGGATTGGATAAATGAGTTAGCCATGGTAGAAGGTAGATCGATGGTAGTACTATCTTGTGGATTATTGGAGATGTCTTTGGTCTGTGTGGTATTTTTGGCTTTTGAATTAGCAGAGTTGGCTGAATTATGTATTTAGAGAGTTAAATAACTTATTGATAGGTGTTCTGTATTATACTTAGTTTAGCTCTAGTATATAGACTTAGAGTTCAATGTATTATTGTTTTATTTTTATGAAAAATTAATAAATACTGCAAATTGTAGTTTGATTGAAGACAAATATATATATATATATTTGGGAGTTTCCCTTGTGGATAAATAACATTTCTTTATTTGATATTATATATAATAAAGTATATACTGTATTATAAAAGAAACAATATCTCTTTCATTATTTCAGGAAAGTTTAATACTAGCTTGCCTATTTAGTAATTATCTAACTAATATAATAACCATTTCAAAAGCAATATTATAATGTTAGATAAAGTTGAGTAGTAGCTATATCTATCAACTCAGGAAATTTTATGAAATCTTTTGATTTTTTGAATATATAATAGTTGAAAAGAAAATAAACATAACTGTAACTAAAACTGTATCAAATAAACTATAAAATCTATAAGTAAATAATTAATTATTTCTCTAAGAAAGTCTCTGGACAGGCTTATGGTTCTATCTCTTCAGCTTTTTAGTTACTATAGATAATAAAGTATACATGAAGTTGTTTGTTACTATAGTTATTAATAGACATATAATTGATATTGTTGTTGTGATTGTTGTTATGATACAAAACTGGTTTAAACAGAATTAATTTTTGTTTTGATTTTTAAGCAAAATCTGATTAAATGATAGAAAAGTACTGATCATCTATAGGGAGTGAGCTGATTTCAGTTTTTTGGTCAGGAAAAAATATTGAGAAATTTGGAATAGCACAGTAAATATCACTACGAAGAAATAAAATTTGTGAGTTGACTTGAAACAAACAATAGACTCACTAACTCTATTTGAGTATATATTTTGAAAAGTATTTGTTTTAGCAAGTATAATAATAATAATGTGAATAATTTTTATGATAAAATAAGGATAAGAAGAAATACAAAAGAACAAAAGAAAGAATATACAAGACTTTCAAACTTGAATAGACTTTGACCAGAGATTCCATCCTACTGCATCAGTTGTCTTGAAGATTCTTGAGTTCCTAAGCTGGGGCTCACTTGTAATAAAGAGTATAAACTATTTTTCTTGCTTAAAATTAACATAAATAGAAAATTTTTAACAAAATGGATGTGATCAGGAGAGAGTCTTTTTAAAAAAAATTTCTTTATATATATATATTTATTTAATGGTATAATTAGATATTATATATATATAAAACTATTTTTTACTTGAAAATTTCCTTATTTGATAATAGCTCTTCCAAGATACTTTCACTTTCCAAGCACTTTCAAGTGCTTGCAACTACTAAATAACTCCTATCATGGAGTGCCCCACAATAAAAAACAACAAAAAAAGGTCTTATATGCAACAATTCATCAGAATTGGAACCAACTTTTCCAACTTTTCTATCTTGACCTCAGTAACAACAAAATTATTTGAACAGAATTTGCAAGAAACCTTCTTATTCCAACCTGACAAACTTTTCCAACCAATTTCTCATTATAAGAGAAGAAAAAAACATTGAAGAAATAGTTAAAACAGGCTCTACAAATGATATTTGCATTCTTAACTTTACAATGGATATCTACAAAAGCAGACCTCCCCAAACTCGTATCTCTCTCTCCAACATCAGAAACACACTACTCAACTTCCAATACATCAGTAATATTGTAAAAAAAATAAAGAAAACCCAACTAAACACAAAACTCTACAACCGCCTTCAAGAATTTTTTGCTATCTCCCAAGGAATAACCAAAAACTCCAATCAGCTTACCCTGAAAATAATCACCCATCAATCACTTCTCTTGTTTTCCAAAAAAGAAATGTTGATCAAACAACCACAATACATGCACATGCAAGCCCCTTAACTATCACTCCAATCTTTACCCAATTCAGTAACTTCACAGAAATCAGTGCAACAATGGATATACCAATGAAATTATCTGACCTGGATTCTGTCAAATCCAAACAAATCAATCAAACAAACACTACTCCAATTATCCCTTTTGACAACCATATAACAACACCTAGCTTTAGCATGGAAATCAGTGAAATTCTTTCCACAAGCCAATTAAATCTAATGATAATCAATAATATCGTCGACCTTAATGAACTTGCCAAAAATTCCACTCAATCAAAAAATACTCCATATGCATGGTCATCCTCATTCGAACAACAAGTTCAAACAGAACTCCAAGAAATTAGGAATACTAAATACTATGAAACACTCAGAGTCAATATAGAAAAACTAGTCAATAACCTTCTCTGAGCATCAAATGATATACAAATCATCATTCAAACTATCGATACCATTATCAAACTTCCCAAATATCCACCTTACTACCTAAAAGCAATAATGAACAAAATCAGTTTCAAAGACTACACATTTTTTAGTTTTTTTACTCAGAAAGAAGATTTCATACCAGCCCACTAAAAAGAATTTATTGAAATTGAAAAAGACTTCCAGGACAAATATAAAGAAGAAAACAGCCTACATTTCATCAACTTTAAAACCAAAAAAAAAATCTGTATCATAATCTGCATTATTTTATCAATCATATACTTACACACTATCAATATTAAAAACATGCACTACTATGAACTAGCAAGTCTTCTTACCTATCTTATCAACTATCTTATCAAAAAACCAACTTTTATTCTTGATTATACCTCTATTAGAGAAGAACTTAAAAAACACTTCATCGATTTTCTTTCCAACCTTCCATCAGAACTATCTGAAATTCCTTCTCAAATTAAAATCAAACTTCTTACAAAACTTTCAATGTCAAACAAAGCCAACTTAATTGCAACCCTTCAGATTTTAGGCTCTCACTACAAATTTGACAAACTTCCTTATATCTACTTCAAAGAAAACTCTCTTCTCCCAGAAAATCCAAACAATCTACTAATCAAATACAAAAACATCTTTCTTATCAAAAAGAGAAGAGACCTCAACAATCTCTTCAATTACAAAAATCTTCTATGCAAAGAATACAAAGTCCTATCCAAATTACCTGACACTTACTTTGATTTTTCACCATCAAAAAAGCCACTCCCAACAACACATTAACTCTTAGACTCCAAATACAAGCATCTTTTTTCCTTTAATCCAAGGGACAGCAACTTTACTCTACAGGAAATTGTAACCTTACTCAGGAAAACTTATTATTTCAAATTTCTACCCAATTATTTTTTCTTTATCAGAACAAAACCTCTCTCATCCTCCTCCAAAGCTTCACTTGAAACAA